CCTGACCTACCGTATCTTTTTATCATGTTAGATCAAAAGTATTTTATTTCTGGGCTTCCCTGGTGGCGCAGTGGTTGAGAGTCCGCCTGCCAATGCAGGGGACACGGGTTCGTGCCCCGGTCCGGGAAGATCCCACATGCCACTGAGTGGCTGGGCCCGTGAGCCATGGCCGCTGGGCCTGCACGTCCGGAGCCTGTGCTCCGCAATGGGAGAGGCCACAACAGTGAGAGGCCCGTGTACCGAAAGTAGATAAGAAGACATCAATTTTTATATAAATAATTGCATGTAACACTTGGTGTAAGAAAACTGAGGGTTAGACAGCTATTGTTACTTTCCCAAGATTAATAAGTAATAAAAAGGGAAGTTTTATCTAAAGTAAGGCTTACCACCTAACCAGGGTATCAGATCAAGTTAGACTATGCTGCAGTGCATATATGCCTAGTATCTCAGGGGTTTAATTCCACCCAAAAAAAAAAAAAAAAAAAAAAAAAATTTTATTTCTAATAACACCTGTATACAGTATACTTGCAAAGTATTTTAAAGAAGTGTTATTTTTTAATTAAAAAATTTTAATTGAGGTATAGTTGTACAATATTATATAAGTTTCAGATGTATAACATAGTGATTCATAACTTTTAAAGGTTATATTCCATTTATAGTTATTATAAAATATTGGCTATATTCCCTGTGTTGTGCAGTATGTCCTTGTAGCTTATTTATTTTATACATAGTAGTTTATACCTCTTAATTTCCTAAGCCTATCTTGCCCCTCCCTCTTCCTTCTCCCCACTGGTAACCAGTAGTTTTCTCTCTGTATCTGTAAGTCTTTTTCTTTTTTGTTGTATTCACTAGTTTGTTTTATTCTTTAGATTCCACATCTAAGTGATATCATACAATATTTGTCTCAACTAAAAGCTGCTTCTTTGAAAACATAAACAAAATTGATAAAGCTTTAGCCAGAGTCATCAAGAAAAAAGGGAGAGGGCTCAAATCAATAAAATTAGAAATGAAAAAGGAGAAGTTACAATGGACACCACAGAAATACAAAGGATCATAAGACCCTACTACAAGCAACTATATGACAATAAGCTGGACAACTTAGAAGAAATGGACGAATTTTTAGAAAGGTACAACCTTCCAAGACTGAACCAGGAAGAAATAGAAAATATGAACAGCAGAATCACAAGTACTGAAATTGAAACTGTGATTAAAAAGCCTCCAACAAACAAAAGTCCAGGACCAGATGGCTTCACAGGTGAATTCTATCAAACATTTAGAGAAGAGTTAACACTTATCCTTCTGAAACTATTCCAAAAAATTTCAGAGGAAGGAACACTCCCAGTCTCATTCTTTGTGGCCACCGTCACCCTGATACCAAAACCAGACAAAGATACCACACAGAAAAGAAAATTACAGGCCAGTATTACTGATGAACATAAATGCAAAAATCCTCAACAAAATACTAGCAAGCCAGATCCAATATACATTAAAAGGATCATACACCATGATCAAGTGGGATTTATTCCAAGGATGCAAGAATTTTTCAATATCTGCAAATCAATCAGTGTGATACACCACATTAAGAAATTGAAGAATAAACACCATATGATCATCTCAGTAGATGCAGAAAAAGCTTTTGACGCAATTCAACACCATTTATGATAAAAAACTCTCCAGAAAGTGGGTATAGAGGGAACCTACCAACATAATAAAGACCATATATGACAAACCCACAGCAAACATCATACTTAATGGTGAAAAGCTGAAAGCATTTCCTCTAACATCAGGAATAAGAATGTCCACTCTCACCACTTTTATTCAACATGGTTTTGGAAGTCCTAGCCATGGCAATCAGAGAAGAAAAAAATATATAAGGAGGACTTCCCTGGTGGTCCAGTGGTTAAGACTCTGCCCTTCCACTGCAGGGTCTTAGTTGTAACATGTGGGATCTTTTGTTGTGGTCCACAGGCTCTTCGTTGCAGTGTGCAGGCTTCTCTCTAGTTGTGGCGCACAGGCTCCAGAGCGCATGGGCTCAGTAGTTGCAGTGCGTGGGCTCTCTAGTTGTGGCACACAGGCAAAGTAAGTCAGAAAGAGAAAGACAAATACCATATGATATCACGTATATGTGGAATCTAAAATATGGCACAAATGAACCTATCTGCGAAACAGAACCAGATTTGCAGAGATGGAGATCAGACTTGTGACACAGAGATCAGACTTGTGGTTGCCAAGGGGGGGGGAGGGAGAGGGATGGACTGGGAATTTGGAGTTGGTAGGTGCCAACTATTACATTTAGAATGGTTAAACAACAAGGTCCTATTGTATAGCACAGGGAACTATATCCAGTCTCCTGGGATAAACCAAAATGGAAAAGAATATTTAAAAAATAGTATATATGTGTAAAACTGAGTCAACTTGGCTGTACAGCAGAGATTGGCACAACATTGTAAATCAACTCTACTTTGATTTAAAAAAATAAAGTCTACTTTGTTTGATATGAATATTGGTACTCCAGCTTTCTTTTGATTTCTATTTGCATGGAATACCTTTTTTACATCCCCTCACTTTCAGTCTGTATGTGTCCCTAGATCTGAAGTGGGTCTCTTGTAGACAGCATATGTACAGGTCTTGTTTTTGCATCCATTCAGCCAGTCTGTGTCTTTTGGTTGGAGCATTTAATCCACTTACATTTAAGGTAATTATCGATATGTTTGTTCTTATTGCCATTTTGTTAGTTGTTTAGGATTTGTTTCGGTAGGTCTTTTTTCTTCCCCTTTTGTTCTCCTGTGATTTGATGACTATCTTTAGTCTTGTGTTTGGATTGCTTTTTCTTTTTTTGTGTGTGTATCTATTGTAGATTTTCACTTTGCGGTTATCATGAGGTTTTGATATAGCAGTCTATATATATACAAGATTGTTTTGACTTGCTGGTCTTTTAATTTCAAATATATTTCAAATATCCTGCATTTGCATTCTCCTCATGATTGCTGGTTTTGATATCATATTTGTTTGGGGATGATTTTCTACCTTTACTCTATGTTTGCCTTTACTGGTGAGCATTCCTTTTTGTAATTCTCTTGTTTCTAGTTGTGGCCTTTTCTTTTCTGTCTAGAGATGTTCCTTTAACATTTGTTGTAAAGCTGGTCTGGTGGTGTTCTGCCTATGTTTTCTTCTAGGAGTTTTATGGTTTCTGGTCTTACATTTAGGTCTGTAATCCATTTTGAGTTTATTTTTGTATATGGTATTAGAGAATGTTCTAATTTCATTCTTTTACATGTAGCTGTCCAGTTTTCAAGTACTATGTATTTTTAAAAATATTTCTGAAATGACTTGGGTTATACTGTAAATATTTTTCCCATCACCTCAATTTCTAGCTGCCAGAACAAATAGAAGGGAACTCAGAACTCTTGCTTTTTGGTGATGCTTATTAACAAATATAACTCTGAATACAATGGGCTTATTAAATCAGTCTAGTTCAGTTTATTCAGGGGATGCAATTAAAAATCTTTTAACCATAAACCAAAAGTATATTTGTGCAATAGAATAGAATTGTGTGTCTATATATAAAGCCATATATCTATGGCCAACTGATTTTTTAGCAAGGGTAACAAGACAATTCAATAGGATAGTCTTTTCAACAAATATTGCTGGGACAGCTAGATATCCACAGGTAAAAGTATGAGTTTGGACTCCTACCTCATACCATATATAAAAATTAACTCAAAATGGCACCTAAATGTAACAGCTGAAAGTGTAGAATTTTTAGAAGTAAACCTAGTTGTTAATCTTTGTGACCTTGAATTAGGCAACAGTTTAATATGACACTAAAGCACAAGCAAGAAAGAAAAAAATAAATATACAAATCGGTCTTCATCAAAACTATAAAAACTTGTGTGTCAGAGGAAACTATCAAGAAAGTGAAAACTCAACCTACAGAATGGGAGAAAATATTTGCAAATCATAATCTGATAAGGGTCTAGTATCCAGAATATATAAAGAACTCCTATAACTCAACAATAAACACATAACCCAATTTTAAAATGAGCAGAGAAGTTGATAGACATTTCTCCAAAGAAGATATACAAATGGCTAATGAGTGCATGTAAAGACACTCCACATGAAAAGATGCTTAGCATCACTAATCATTAGGGAAATGCAAATCAAAACCACACTAAGATGCCACTTGACATCCACTAAGATGGCTGTAATAATTTTTTTTAAAAAGAAGAAGAAGAATAAAAAGACAACAGTGTTGGTGAGGACATGAAGAAATTGGAACCCTCATACATTCCTTGTGGGTATGTAAAGTGGAGCAGCTACTGTGAAAAACCATTTGACAGTTTCTTAAAATGTTAAACATAGTTGCCATATCACCCACCAATTCCACTTTTAGGTATATACCCAGGATAATTAAAAATGTATGTTCAAAGCATCATTAATCATAAAACCAAAAAGTAGAAACATAATAAATGTCCATCATATTAATTAATGGATAAACCAAATGTCATATTTTTATACAGTGGAATATTACTCAGCCATAAAAAGAAATGAAATACTGACACATGCTACAACTGAATGAACCTTGAAAACATTACACTAAGTGAAAGAAGCCAGACACGAAAAAGGTCATATATTGTATGATTCCATTTGTATGTGATGTCCAGAATGAGCGATCCGTTGGAAAGTAAATTAGTGATCACCTGGGGATGGAGGAAGAGGGAAGGTATAGGGTTTCCTTTTTGGAGTGATGGAAATGTTCTGGAATTAGGTAATGGTGATGGTTGCACAGCATTGTAAATATGCTAACCAACCCAACTACACACCTTAAAATGATTAATTTTATGTTATGTGAATTTTATCTCATTAAACCTTTTAAAAATAAAGATTGTGTGGTACAGTAAGAAGTATATTGCAAATCTATATTTCCAATGAACATATTATTTTAAATCATATCTAGGGATTTCCATATCTAAATGTATAATTGTCTGTCTTTACTTCAGGATGCTAGAAAAGCATGTAATGATGCCACGCTTGTTCAGGTAAAGTTTTTATTTTTCCTCAGTTCATTTTATAAATTCACATGGAACTGCTTGATACTGATGCAAATGACGTTCAGATTCTGTTTATTAGTGTTTAATTGAAAGAAATATGAGATCTCTATTTAAAAACACTTTGTAATTTGTCAGATGCTGGTAGAAGTGCTTTTTAAAGCATACCTGTTAAAATGGAAGTCTGCGAAAAAATACAATAAAAATATGTACGTTCATATAGTACATGTTTCTTTTTAGGTAGCTTCTGATTCTTTTGATATGCCCTGGTTAAGATCTTTTTTTATTATATAAACTATTAGGAAGGTTTCATTAGTTTAATTAATATTGATCATTTTTATTAAGGAGATATTTTATGTGTTGTTTAAATATAAAATTGGCTTTCTTTAGATAGTTAAAATTAGAAATGTTTTACTGTTTGATCATCTGCTATTAGATTTTTATTTGTGGCTGGTTTTTTACTAAGGTTGGAAGGTATGTCTGTTCTTTTTACTTAATAGTCTATAGAAGATGTTCTCACTGGAAGGTGTGCAAATAAATCATACTTTTTCTTGAACAACATATTAATCCTATAATGACTCTAGGAATTATTTGTATTAAAGTACCTTCAATAGCTATAAATTTGCTTTATGTCTGCTTTTTTGCCTATTAATTGTTTCTACTTTATTTTCTGAGCTATGTCTAAGGTAAAGAATGACATTCTCGTCACTTCCTATAGATCACGTCAAATATGGATTCCGTGGGTCGAATACAAATGCGAACAAGACGTACACTGAGGGGTCACCTAGCTAAAATCTATGCTATGCACTGGGGATATGATTCGAGGTTTGTACCTGCCATTTTCAGACTGTGTGCAGAATTATTTTTGTTGAGTCATCATTTGCATTTTCTTTTTAGAAACAACCTGTATCTATGAAGTATTTGCAGAAAATACATCTAATGTGAACGCTTTGCTTTTAATAAAAATATTCATTGATACTTTAAAAGTTTAGAAACCTTTAATATGGAAAACAGATTTACCTCTTAGAAATATCCTTTATCAAATGATTTAGGCAAAGCGTTTAGGATTTCTTTTCTTTGCAGTGGGGTATTTGTTTTTTTTTTTTAACATGCCAAGGCAGTTTTATTGTGTATTAACATTGAAATTTCAGTTAATAAGGAAATATTTATTGAATATTGCTATGCACAGGTTACCAGATCTTGCCATAATTATTTATTACCTAAATTCGCAAAGGATGGAATTACATAAAACAATGACATTTTTGTTGAATACATCTTTTATTCCCCTAACCCCATCATACAAGTGTGTGTGTATTGAACACACACACACACACACACACACACACACACACACACACACACACACACACACACACACACACACACACACACAGCCACCATCTGGATTGCAGTTGGATGGTTGGTCGTGATGATTTACTTTGTTCATAGGGTTACAGTGTGGCCTGTGCTTTTTCCAGAGTATCTGGCACTGCTTCCATAGTGGTTGACTTGTTCCTTTGATTTGGTTCATCTAATTGGGAAAAAGTCTTAACTAAAAAATTATTTTTTAATAGAAGTTGCATATTTTTTCTCTTTTTCCAGGAGAACCTAAAAATGTTGCTACCTGTTGCTAATGCCTGGCACATCTTCATGTAAATAAGATACTTGAATACAGTAATATAGAACTTGTGCCTCTTAGGAGGGAATAAATAAAATTATATAACTGGCAACTGACATAAAGCTAGGCCAAATGTTTTATTCTTTTTCTTAAAGAAGTTTAAGAAGTAATCTGCCCATTGAGATAGCAAATGTGTAACTCAAAATACAATCACTTGAAACAATGTTAATGGTTCTTACTTTCTTAGTTTTCCCAAGACTATTAATCTTAATAGAGAACCAAAAGTGTCAACAGAACCTATCTCACATTGTCTTTCTACCCATTCTGATTATCACCTTGTAACTTAATGTCCTTCTCAACTCAATGCTGATGATGCCAACTGATTTTTGAAGAACTTTAGGTTCCATCCCATACCCTGTGGTTAGATCTTCCCTTTCATAAAACTTACAGTAATTGCTATGTAAGAACCTGATGTTATTTACCTACAGTGAAGCGTGATAGGGACAGGAAGGTGATTCTTTTCACTGTATATCTATCCTTTTGTAGTTTTTGAATTTTATACCATAGTGAAAAATAAAATTCCAAAACAAAACAAAAAATTCAGTGGCAGGTAACTTAGTCAAGAGTTCATATTTAGCCTGGCAAACAGAGATTTCTGTAGTTTAAGCCCAGTCCCCTTTTCTAAACTGTTTTTCCCATTTCTTACAAACTGTGTAACTGGGAAATTCACAATTCCTGAAATACCTGTTGTATTTTTCCACCTCTTGCCATGGAACATACCCTCCTCCTATAGAACACAGACTTCTCTATCTTTAGCTTTCGAAATTCTGTTTTTTCAAGACTTGTTTTCTTTTGCAAGACTACTTGAGTAACTCAGTTAGCACTTATTTGTCCCTCATTTGTTTTCCTATGGCCTTTATTTTATACCAGTCCTCTGACTATTTTCGTTTACCTAATTTATTTTATTAAATGTCTTATCCCCACCAGATGATGGAGGGCCCCAGGGTAGGCGGTATAGCCTGTATTGTACCCATAACACCGCCTTGCATTCACAGGCTCTCAATTGATATTTTTAGATTGAATGAAATGTGGTTCTTAGGCTTATATGTACTCTACTGTCATTATATTTAAGTCAGTACATACTAAACCAGTCAGCTAATAGCTACCAGAATCTTGAATAAGAACTAGAATGTTGTTACCATGAAAAAGTTGTTATAACCAGAGACATTTTTAGTAAAATGTCTAAAAAAAGTTAATGTTGAAATTTTTTGGCATGCAGAATAGATTTTTTTTAAGTTGTGAGACTATTTTCTGGCATCAAGTTTTTAATTCGAAAAATTATTTTTGTCTTTTCTGAACTGTTCTACATTAATGCAATGCATAACTAATTTAAACTACTTTTTTCCTCTAAGTGTCACATTATTTTTGTGTTTGTTCCTCTAGGCTACTAGTCAGTGCTTCCCAAGATGGAAAATTAATTATTTGGGATAGCTATACAACAAATAAGGTAGAGTTTCTTAATCATGCTCTTACATAACCTTTTATTTGGTTTGATGTCCACCAATTCTTTCCTTTATTCTATTACTTCAAGCTTTAATTTCTTTCCAGGATAAATTTACTCCGTTAATTTTAACTCAGATCCTTTCTTTAGACGTAGTGTTTGCTTTTAATATTTAACCTTTTTTTTTTATTCCCAAGGACAACTACAGGAATATAGTTCAGTGTGTCTTATTTGAGTCCCATATTTCATACTTGATTATTAGAAGACACTGTGCATCAGTTTTACATATAAATGATTTTTTTAAAAGGTCCCATTTCCTAATGTGACAGCAACCCTACAATTTTTATTTTTAGTTGTGGATAAGCTAGAATGTTTTCTTTGGTCCACACTAGGCATTGATTTGTGTTTCTGGACTGCTCAGAAGATACAGTAGATTGGAGGCAAATTACAACTTGTTTAGATCCCTTGGTGGTAAAAGCCAGTGGGTCCTCTTAATATGTCCACTGGAAGGAACCCCTGACATAGAGATGTTGAATGGTCATGAAGAAGCTCCAGGAAAATGCTCACAAGTCAAATACTTCTAGATTCTGTGTGCACTTATACCACTGTTTCTAGTAAAGATTTAGAAGTACTATTTTGTGAAATAAACGGTAACTTCAGCCTGGTTGAGAGTTTAAAGCTAGCTAAGACACATTTGTAATATAATAGTTTTTCTGTATCAGTCAGAATTGAGTGTGACTTTCGACTATATTTTCCTAAAACAGAAAAATATTCTTTTAGGTTAAGTGAGAGCATAGTAATCCCACAATGTGTTGATTCTGTGTATGGGCCACTTAGCCTTTATGTTCCCATTCACATTAAACTTTGCTACCCGACCTGCAAATGCTTGGTGTTGGGTAAGGCATCATACAGCGTGGTATGAGTAGATCAGTGCAAACTATTACCATTGTTTGAATTCGAGCCCAGAATATGCGTTATTAGAAGGTCATAGTTCTTTGTGGAAGAACCATTCTGTTCAACTCCAGTACTTGTATTATTCAGTGTTAAGTTAGAGGAAATTCATCTTTTGAGCACTAATGCAAAAACAAAAAATTTTATTAAGTTCTTTAACACTTACACTTAATATTTCAAATGGCTCTCTTCGTGTTGAAATGTCCTATGTCCTTGTTCTTCTTAAAAGAATACTTTCTGAAAAGAGCATTTAAATCCAAATGATTTGATAATAATACAGAAAATATAACAGGCATTTCAGTGTGCATTAGTATTTTATTTTATTTAGTTAGTTAGTTTTGCGGTACGCGGGCCTTTCACTGTTGTGGCCTCTCCCGTTGCGGGACGCACGGGCCCAGCGGCCATGGCTCATGGGCCCAGCCGCTCTGCGGCATGTGGGATCTTCCCGGACTGGGGCATGAACCCATGTCCCCTGCATCGGCAGGCGGACTCTCAACCACTGCACCACCAGGGAAGCCCTAGTATTTTATTTTTTATTGTTCACTTTCTCAAACCATTTCATTCTTTATTTTACTTGGCCTGTTTTTTAAGTACATTTAAATTGCAGTAATATTTGCTTCATTGTAAATAGGTTTGTAAAATTAATGACTGTTTTTGTACTCTTGACTTAGTTTTTGTGTTGTATTTGTCCTGTAGATGCATGCTATTCCTTTGAGGTCCTCCTGGGTGATGACCTGTGCTTATGCTCCCTCTGGTAATTATGTTGCTTGTGGAGGACTGGACAACATCTGCTCTATATATAACTTGAAAACCAGAGAGGGAAATGTGAGAGTGAGCCGAGAGTTACCGGGTCACACAGGTGAGCATCACTACATATTGTCCTTTTCTCCTAAACCTGATTCCTCCTGAAGAATGAGCTGATCAAGGAGAAAGAGTGACAAAGTGAGATCAGCTGGCCAAAGGATGCATATTAATCAAGTGAGAGTAGAAATTACCATGAATCTGGGAAACACTGACTTTTTATAATTATACAAATGACCATACTTCTATTTTTCTTTCAAAAATTAGTATTGTTTTTAATATTGCACATCAACTATACATCAATGAAAAAGAAAATAACTCCAAAAAATAGTATTGTTTTTGTAAAAATTATAAATTGATTGCGAAAAATTCAAACAATAATGAAAAATACAAAAAGAAAGCAAATATAATTTTCTGTATTCTCTGCAAACCTGTAACAATTATGGGATTTTGGTGCTTAATTATGTAATTGAAAGTGTGTATCAAGCTACATTTATGAAGTATTTTTCACTATGTGATAGTGCATTCAGTGTGCACACCATAGTTCGATAATATAGTATTTGGTTAGCAGTGTTAATTAGGAATTTATCACCACTCACCAGATTTCAGCCTCTCTGGATTCTTGGAAGTACTATTTGGCTGTGCTTTTTACACAGTCTCAATAATGGTATTGTTCCTGAAATTTCCATATTTTGAAGCACAGGTGAATTCTGAGCATTTGAGTGCCACCTTTCCTTCCCTGAGGTTTTTAAAATATTTCTCCAAGGTACTTAACCAAGTCTGCTATAGATTATAATAGATATTTGTATTAAGGAGTATCTTTCTCTTAGGTAATTGTAGTAGGTGGAAAGAACTGTGTCTTTTACTCAAGTTTGTAACTTTGAGTCATCAACACAGTAAATATCTAAGAGTTTGTTGATAAAATTCAGTTGCAGGCAGCATAGAGTTGGAAGTAATTAAAAGCAGAACTATAGATTATACTAACAAACACTTGCCCAGGTATTAATTTTTAAAAATATATATTACTATTTCATATGGTAATTGAATTAATCAGTGATAACCTAACATTTGTTACTCTCTATGCTGTAGGCTACTTGTCCTGCTGTCGTTTTTTAGATGACAGCCAAATTGTTACAAGTTCAGGAGATACAACTTGGTAAGTTTATTCCAGAAGATTACTGATTTTGAGGTTGAGGATGGTAGTAGGAACTAATGTAAGAAAGGAGCAGTCATTAATTATTTCTATTTTTAATTATAGTGCTTTATGGGACATCGAAACTGCCCAGCAGACCACTACGTTCACTGGGCATTCTGGAGATGTGATGAGTCTTTCTCTGAGTCCTGACATGAGGACTTTTGTTTCTGGTGCTTGTGATGCCTCTTCAAAATTATGGGATATTCGAGATGGAATGTGTAGACAGTCTTTCACTGGCCATGTGTCGGATATTAATGCTGTCAGTGTAAGTGAAGAGCATTTCTAAGGACAATTTATTGTGCATATAAAGTGTTGAACTCTATAGTATGATTTTAACAACAGATTCCCTTCAAGGATTCTTATAAATAGTATGCTTTTATAACATTTAACCCCCCAATAACAAGGGTTTGATTTTTAAAAATGGAAAGGTTTTAATCCATAGGCCTAGGTCCTTATTTGCAGGTAAACAGGAATAAGTTTTTTTTTTTTTTTTTTCCAGATTTAGAGGGATAAATCATCTTGAGCAAACAAGCATATCATGAGTATCAACAGTGTGTTCAGAGGAGAACAAAGTCCCATATCTCTGGGGTCAAGGGAACAACCCAAAGAGAGACAGTCAGGAAGACAGAGGCAGCTGTTTAGTATAGAGAGTATAGCTTTTGAAGTCAGCAAACTCTGGATCTTAGTTCTGCTGGGAACCAGCTGTGTGAGATCAGGTGGGCTACTTAACCTCTGTGAGCTACACATTCCTCAGTAGGAATAATGCTACCTACATTAAAGAATAATGTGAAGACTAAATGAAACTATAGATTGGATGCTCAATCAATGGTATAAATTATTTATAATCTCCTTCATATTGAAAAAAAAAAACCCCTCAAACAGGTATCTACAAATAGATTAAGCCAGACAATTAAGTACTTAGTATATATGAGAATGAACTAGTCATATGTCTTTATAAATTAAAACTAAAATGGCATTTTGAATGACAATCAAAATGATCTATCAAACAGTCAGAATTGAGGAGAGGGATATTAAGAGGAGGTGGGATACCGCTTGACTTAGGTAAATTGTCCTATGCGGATCAGATGCCAAAATGTATAGATATGACTAGAATTTCCTAAAGCACTGTAATTGCAAGTGTTTATGGGTATAAGATACACTCTAATTTTGCAAGAAGATATTTTTTGGGAAAAATTCGTTTTTATTTATCATGTGCATATTGAAAGTCAATTTTATATAATCTTTAGAGAATTTCAGAGAAAGTAAAGGCTTTGTTACCCCCACCCCCTATTAGGCCAACCTGGTTTGAAGAGTAGAATTTTGGAATAGGCAAACGCAATGCTCTCCATCTCTCATCCCACCACCTTTATCAAGTTGATGAGCTTCTCTTCTGTTCCTAGTTTGCTACAGATTTATCAGGAATGAGTGTTGAAGTTTATCAAATGTCTTTTCTTCATCTATTGAGATGATCATGTGGTTTTTCTTTTTCAGTCTGTTAAATGGTGAATTTACGTGGATTAATTTTCAAACATTAACCCAACCCTACATTTCCAGGACAAACCTCACTTGGTTATAATGCATAATCCTTTTTAGTTACTAGTAGACTTGATTTGTTAAAACTTTAAATTTTGCATCCATATTGATAAGTTATTATATGATTTTTCATTTCTTGAAATGTTTTTTTCAGATTTTGAAAGGGTTCCCTTTTTTCTACATCCTCTTCAGCATTTATTGTTTGTAGATTTTTTGATGATGGCCGTTCTGACCAGTGTGAGATGATACCTCATTGTAGTTTTGATTTTAGTGATTTTAGTGATGCTGATAATTAGTGATGTTGAGCCATCTGTATGTCTTCTTTGGAGAGATGTTTATTTAGATCTTCTGCCCATTTTTTGATTGGGTTGTTTGTTTTTTTGATATTGAGCTGCATGAGCTGTGTGTTTTGGAGATTAATCCCTTGTCAGTCGCATCATTTGCAGATATTTTATGCCATTCTGTAGGTTGTCTTTTTGTTTTGTTAATATTTATTTATTTAATTTATTTATTTTCTTTATTTTTTTGGCTGTGTTGGGTCTTAGATGAGGCATGAAGGATCTTTCATTGCAGTGCAGGCTCTTTGTTGTGGTGCATGGGCTTCTCTCTAGTTGTGGCATGCAGATTTTCTCTCTCTGGTTGTGGCATGTGGGCTCCAGGGCACATGGGCTCTGTAGTTGTGGTACGTGGGCTCTCTCATCAAGGTGCACAAGCTCAGTAGTTGTGTGCGTGGGCTTAGTTGCCCTGCAGCATGCGGACTCTTACTTCCCTGACCAGGAATTGAACCCACGTCCCCTGCATTGGAAGGCAGATTCTTTACCACTGGACCGCCAGGGAAGTCCTTGTCTTTTTGTTTTGTTTATGGTTTCCTTTGCTGTGCAAAAGCTTTTAAATTTGATTAGGTCTAATTTGTTTATTTTTGTTTTTATTTCCATTACTCTAGGAAAGGATCCAAAAAGATATTGCTGCAATTTATGTCAAAGGGTGTTCTGCCTATGTTTTCCTCTAAGAGTTGTACAGTATCCAGTCTTATGCTTAGATCTTTAATCCATTTTGAGTTTATTTTTGTGTGTGGTGTTAGAGAATGTTCTACTTTCATTCTTTTCCATGTAGCTGTCCAGTTTTCCCAGCACCACTTATTGAAGAGACTGTCTTTTCTCCATTGTATATTCTTGCTTCCTTTATTGTAGATTAATTGACCATAAGTGTGTGTGTTTATTTCTGGGCTTTCTATCCTGTTCCATTGATCTGTGGATCAATGGAGTCAGGTGTGTGTTTGTTTTTGTGCCAGTAACATACTGTTTTGATTACTGTAGCTTTGTAGTATACTCTGAAGTCAGGGAGCCTGATTCCTCCAGCTTTGTTTTTCTTTCTCAAGATTGCTTTGGCTATTCAGGGTCTTTTGTGTTTCCATACAAATTAAAAATTTTTTTGTTCTAGTTCTGTGAAAAAATGCCATTGGTAGTTTGATAGGGATTGCATTGAATCTGTAGATTGCCTTGGATAGTATACTCGCTTTGACAATATTGATTTTTCCAATTCAAGAACATGGTATAAGATTTCCTTTTTTATGGCTGAGTAATATTCCATTGTGTGTATGTATGTGTGTGTGTGTGTGTGTGTGTGTACGTGCGTGTATATCTCACATCTTCTTTGTCCATTCTTCTATCGGTGGACACGGAGGTTGCTTCCAGATCTTGGCTATTCTAAACAATGCTGCATTGAACAGGGTGCATGTATATCTTCTCCAATTAGTGTTTTTGTTTTCTTGAGGTAAATACACAGAAGTGAAATTGCTGGATCATATGGTAGTTCTATTTTTAATTTTTTGAGGAACCTACATACTGTTTTCCATAGTGGCTACACCAGTTTACTTTCCCACCAACAACACATGAGGGATATTTTCTCCACATCCTTGCCAACACTTGTTATTTGTTGTCTTTTTGATAATAACCATTTTGACAGGTGTGAGGTGCTGTCTCATTGTGGTTTTTATTTGCATTTCCTTGATGATTAGTGATGTTGAGCATCTTTTCATGTGTCTATTTGCCATTTGTCTGTCTTCTTTGGAAAAATGTCTATTCAGGTCCTCTGCTCATATTTTAATTGGGTTGTTTGTCTTTTTGATATTGACTTTTGTGAATTCTTTGTATGTTTTGGATATATTGTTTGCAAATATCTTCTCCCATTCAGTAGGCTGCCTTTTCCTTTTGTCAGTAGTTTTCTTCACTGTGCAAAAGCTTTTTCTAGTTTGATGTAGTCCCATTTGTTTATTTTTGCTTTTTCTTGCCTGAGGAGACATCCAAAGAAAATACTGCTAAGACCACTGTCAAAGAGCATACTGCCTGGGAACTCCCCAGTGGTCCGGTGGTTAGGACTTTGCACTTTCACTGCTGAGGGGGGCCTGGGTTTGATCCCTGGTCAGGGAACTAAGATCCCACAAGCTGCGCAATGTGGCCAAAAAAAAAAAAAGAAAAGAAAAAAGCATACTGCCTGTGTTTTCTTCTAGGAGTTTTATGATTTCAGGTCTTACGTGTAAGTATTTAATCCATTTTGAGTTTATTTTTATATATGGTGTGAGAAAGTCATCCAGTTTGATGCTTTTGCATCTAGCTGACCAGTTTTCCTGACACCATTTATTGAAGAGGCTGTCTTTTCCTCATTTTATATTCTTGCCTCCTTCATTGTTGACTGTGTGTGCATGGGTTTATTTCTGGGATTTCTATTCTGTTCCATTGATCTATGTGTCTGTTTTAGTGTCAGTAGCTTACTGTTTTGATTACTATAGCTTTGTAGTAGTTTGAAATCAGGGAGAGTGATACCTCCAGAAAATTGCTTTATATTTTTAAAAAAGTAAAAAATATTAGAAGGCAAATGACAAACTATAAAATATTTGCCACAAAGAAAACAAATTTATATTCTTCATTTTATTCCTACACATCAGCAGGTACTAACAGAGTAATACAGATGACCAATAGATACATGAAGTGACTTCCTCTTTGTAAAAAGTGTTGAGTAGTGCCACAGTATCTGAGAAAGGGGATTCACAAACTAATAATGCATAGTTTTCTTTACTACTAGCTTAACTTTATAACCTAGCCTAACTGGATGATTTTTGTTCTCTTTTATAAAATGTTTCCTATTTATTTCTCATAATGAGATTATTGGAACATTTAAGAGTATACATACATATATAAATTCTATAAATAGTAATATTTGATTTAAACATTTTAGTAAGACATATGGAGGACCAGAGCCAGGATGTTTTGAGTACTTGCTTTGTGCTGAACAGTGGGTTATGGGTACTGTGCATGTGTTATTTCATTCAGCCCTAACTAACCAACACACTGAATTCTGAAACTAAGACTCAAGTGTTTAAGAATCTTTAGTGCCTAACATCATTCACCTGGTAAGAAACCAAGTTGGAATTTGAATCTAGGTCTGTCTTACCCCAGAGTGTATTATTACACTGCCTCACATAATTTTTGTGTACTTCTGTGGAATAAATGTTTGTTGCTTTTTTTTCTAGTTTTTCCCAAATGGATATGCCTTTGCCACTGGCTCTGATGATGCTACTTGCCGGCTCTTTGACCTTCGTGCAGACCAAGAGTTATTATTGTATTCTCATGACAATATCATCTGTGGGATCACTTCCGTAGCCTTCTCAAAAAGTGGGCGTCTCCTGTTAGCTGGGTATGATGACTTCAATTGTAACGTATGGGACACACTAAAAGGAGATCGTGCAGGTTAGTAAATAAGTACACATTAGGTTTTGATTTTGTCAGGAAATGTGAAAAGGTTCCCATCGGTTGTTTCTGGGGCCCCCATGGACACCCTGGGGAATGGCAACATGGCAGTTCTCATTCATGGTCATTGTTGATCTTTGAGTGCAGTTACAGTCCATAAACCATATTTATGTTTCTGTTTTCTGAAGAGTAACATCTGATTCTATATTGTTTGGTACGTTTTGACATAAAGATGAATAGTGAATATAATTTAGTATGGTCTTTTCCAAATTACATTTCTCTTATAACCTGACAGGAAACATGGATCTTCTTTTTGGCTCAGATCTTGTATGGGACAGGACATGGAACCACTGTCTCCCCTTAACCCCGTACTCTGTGTTCTCCCATGCAAGCTTCCAGAATATTAGCATCCAGTTGTACTGGGGACTGCCATTAATAACAGATTACACAGAGTGACTTAAAATTTTTTTAGAATCAAAATTATACTCAAGGAATCAAATAGGTCTACATGGCTTGTTACCAAAACACAGCAGTCCTCTGACCCCAGCCCATGTTCTCTGCTCCCAATGGTAGCTACTTTTAAGTATTTACTTTTATATCTTTAAAGAACATCCTGTATTGATTTTTTTTTTTTTTTTTTTTTTTCTTTTAGGCATTATTTGTTGAGGGTTTGGTTTCAACATCCCTCCTCCCACCACAACTTCCATCTTCCAGTTTTTCCCATGTAGTGAATTTGGTTTAGAACATCAGTCAGCGTTTATTACACAATTATGAATTTTTAAACAGTACTTACTGCCAAGCAGTGAGGTATATGCTGTGACTTCTTTTGCTGTGCTTTTTTTTTTTTTTTTTTTTTTTTATAATGTTCTCTGTGTTTACTTTAACTTATTAGAAGTTCCGTTCTCTCTTCATGGAAGATTAGGCATACAAAAATTGTCTACAAGTAAAACTCTGTTTGGGCCTCTGGGCTCACATTTAACTGGGAAAATATGAATTCTTTTCTGCTGATGCCTCATAGGGTCCCAGACATGAGGGAAGTGAAGAGGAAGACCTTTTTAGCATTCTTTTTAGCTCTTTTATGGATGCACTATGCATAGAGAATTCTTCTGTCAGCTTGTATGTAAGATTTCTGATTTTGCTTTTATGGAGTTTATCCATAAAACATATACAGAATTGTTAATAGCATTACATATAAATAATTATTATTTATTTTTTTTTTGGCGTGACAAATCATAATTATAATTTTTATTTATTTATTTTTAACATCTTTATTGGGGTATAATTGCTTTACAATGGTGTGTTAGTTTCTGCTTTATAACAGAAACCTCAAGCAGTGAGGTATATGCTGTGACTTCTTTTGCTGTGCTGCTTTTGAATATTCTCTAGGGTCAAATTAAGTTTTTGGCTTACATTCTTAGTTTTGATGTACTTCTCACTAATTAATCTTCAAACTTTTTGCAAGTTTTGATATGTTTGGGAGTAGATCCATTTTCATCCCTCGTTCTGGGCATTCAGTGGACCTTTTCAACCTGGAAACATATACCCTGGAGTACTGGGAAGTTTAGGAGGCTTATTTAATTGGTTGCACTTTTTTCTCCATTATCATTCTGTTCGTAGAACTCCCATCATTCATTCATTCATTCATTATTTTTGGCTGCACTGGGTCTTCGTTACTGCGCACAGGCTTTCTCTAGTTGTGGTGAGCGGGGGCTACTCTTCGTTGCAGTGTGCAGGCTTCTCATTGTGGTGTCTTCTCTTGTTGTGGAGCACAGGCTCTAGGCATGTGGGCTTCAGTAGTTGCAGCACGCAGGCTCAGTAGTTGTGGCTCACGGGCTCTAGAGTTCAGGCTCAGTAGTTGTGGTGCAAGGGCTTAATTGCTCCACGGCATGTGGGATCTTCCTGGACCAGGACTTGAACCTCTGTCCCCTGCATTGGCAGGCAGATTCTTAACCACTGCGCCACCAGGGAAGCCCAGAACTCCCATTATTCTGATGTTGGACTTCTTGGACTTTATTAGTTTCTCTCATATTTTCCATCTGTCTATTTTTGCTTCATGTTCTGGGAGAAATTCTTGCCTTTTCTTTCCATGAACCTTCTGTTAAGCTTTGGTTTTCCATTTTTGCTACCATCTTTTTGAGAGTTTTTTTTAGGGCCCGCATTCTTTTTTTCATGAATAAAAGTCTTTTGTTTTTCTGGGGTCATTAATGAAAGCCTTTTTTGAAGTTTTCTTCTGTAAGCATAATCTTTTGTTTTCCAAGTTGCCTTTTTTCCCCCTTCTTTCTTATTTTTTCAGTGTCCTATCTATTATATCTCCTTAAAACTCTGATGATTCTTAGCCTCTTATTTATCCTTAAGAGTGAGGCACTAAAACTGTTTGAAAGCCCTCTGCACATGGTTGGGGTGTGCTGACTGTAGGCCTCACTGAACAGTGATCTGGCCAGGCTTTTATTGGGGAGCCTCTGATATATCTTATGTCCTTTTTTCCCTTGGGCCAGCTGTCTTCTCTGAGGTGGATTGTTCCACTTTTCTACCTGAAGTATATAAGCTGACTGACAGTTTGGGGGCTGATTTCCGGGAAGAAGCTGGTGTGCAAGACAATTAGCAAGTAAACTTAATTATTCCCCATTTTCAGCAGTTTCACCAATCTCAACTGTGCCTATTTTCTTCTAGTTAAGAGACCCTCTTTTACTCTCTCTAGCAAGTAAGTCTCTAGTCTTATGTTCTGATGCAGGATGATAAATCGTCTGACTCTGCAGAGTGAAGAGACCTGGGGAGTCTAACTGATTCCTGGACACTTTCTAATGCAGCCTCAGTTTACCCCATCTTTGCCCCTCTCTGGTTCCAGAGATACCTGGTTCCACTAGTATCTGACCCTTTTGGAGGTTCTGCACTTTGCTTTTGTTTCTTGGCTTATCAGACCATTTGCTTTGAACTTAGCATTTTGGGGCCCACTAACACACTTACCACCATACAGCTCACAAAATTTTGTTGCCACTGCTTGCTCTCATATCCTTGCTGCCCTTGTGGGTTTATGTCCTTGCCCATTTAAACACCTATACAGCTGTTGAGGTTTCTGAGGGAGTGGAGGCAATGTCAACATTACCAGGAATAATTTTCTACAACCTCTCTTGAGACTGCAGAAAAGTTCACAGATTAGCATTTTGCAAGTAAATTTTTGGAGATACTCTGTTGTCCAAAGCCAGTTACTTTTTTGAGGTATTAGGTGTTTTGCTTGGATCGAATGAATTAATATCCATAACAAAATAAAAGCATGTTTGTTTTCCGTATTTTTAAAATTAATTAATTTATGGCTGTGTTGGCTCTTCGTTTCTGTGCGACAGCTTTCTCTAGTTGCGGCAGGTGGGGGCCACTCCTCATCGCGGTGCACGGGCCTCTCACTATCGCGGCCTCTCTTGTTGTGGAGCACAGGCTCCAGACGCACAGGCTCAGTAATTGTGGCTCACGGGGCTAGTTGCTCCGTGGCATGTGGGATCTTCCCAGACCAGGGCTCGAACCCGTGTCCCCTGCATTGGCAGGCAGATTCTCAACCACTGCACCACCAGGGAGGCCCTCCGTATTTTTTTAAACATATGCTTGAGTTTTAGTTTTGCTTTGCTTACAGCTGTTTGGTTTCAAGTTGACTCAACTGGATACTTTCACCTTAAAATTGAAATGTGACTCATGAATTGCTAATTCATTCTTCTTTCCAGTATGACTTGGAGTATTTAGTCACAATGGTCATTTTTTGTTATTTCAACCCATAATGGTAAATTTGCCTGTTGCCAAACATTGCCATACTGAAGGTACTGCACAGAATATTAATGAGTTAGACAAGATGAACTTCTGTTCCTAAGATTGGGTGAAAATGATATGCTTAATTACGTATGGAGATAATGAAAACTCAAACAGTATATTAAAGAAAAAAATTCTTTTTGAGAATTTGATATATTCTAATTTTTCTTTTAAATCTTTCTCATTTTCCTCCCAAATATTTGGGAATATTTAATTTTATCCTGTGTAGTGGTCAGAAGATCAAATAGGTTAAATATACAAAAGAAAACTAAGACTAGATGAGTTTGATGGTTTCAGAAAGTTATGACCAAAACATTCCAGGGTTTGGTGGTTAAAAGAATAAAGTAAATAAATTATGTTATGTTTCGAAGTGGTAGTATAAGTCAGCTTCATTCTCGTGTTTTTGTTGTTCTGGTGGTAAAAGTTCATTGAACTTCATTTAAAATTTTGTTTTTGGGCTTCCCTGGTGGCGCAGTGCTTGGGGGTCCGCCTGCCGATGCAGGGGACGCGGGTTCGTGCCCCGTTTCGGGAGGATCCCGCGTGCCGCGGAGCGGCTGGGCCCGTGAGCCGTGGCCGCTGGGCCTGCGCGTCCGGAGCCTGTGCTCCGCAAATGGGAGAGGCCACAACAGTGAGAGGCCCGCATAACGCAAGGAA